TTCCCTTCCATACTTACCTCCTCCATTACATAGACACACCTTTTTTGCCATATAGCCCATATGATAGCTTTCCTACCAAGGCAAAATAGATTCGACGGAAATGTGGAAAGTGACTGATCTCCCGGATTCCATTGTCCTAATAAGAGAGCTCTCCATTCCCATGGGCCTCGCTGCACTACTCTAGACTCTTGAAGTTTCGAGAGTGGGTCTTCGCTGCACTTAGGGCCTTGTTGCACTACTCTAGACTCTCGAAATATCTCGAGAGTTAGTCAGAGAGGAGAGACTCTCGAAATACCTGCCTTCGCTGCACTTACTCCATAACCTATTACACTAGGTGAACTCTCGAAACGTCAGAGAGGAGAGACTCTCGAAATACCCGCCTTCGATGCACTTAGGGCCTCGCCGCACGACACAAATAATGAAACGAAACGATCACAAGAGTCGCGAGGCCTCGCGAAGCCCTGATCCACCGTTTCTCTTCGTTTTTTGCCTCACCGCCCCACAGCACACACGAAAACTCTCGCGACAACGCCCTGGCGAGAGTAGTGCGGGATTCGCTTCGCTACGGTCCAAATTTGTGGACGCTACGGTCCAAGTTTTTGGATGGACCTCGGTTGGAGCAATGCAGCACACTCGTGAGATTTCGCAGCTCCTCCACCCTACCAGCGGAGGACCTACGAGTTCGTGAGTGCTGTAGGCAGGGAGGAGTCGGCACTCTCGTGAGGGCTCGCGAACTTGGAGACTGACAACATTCACGAGTTTTTCCTGACAGAGGTCGTGTGGGTGCTATGCGGCGACTGCTTCACGGAACGAAGTCGTTTTTTTTTTTCGTTTTGTGCACCGTGTGGCGAGGCCCTTACTCTATAACCTATTAAACGAGGTGAACTCTCGAAACCCTGGGCGTCGTCCTACTCTACAAAAGAGTTGCGCCACTGCACTACGGGACAAAGTCTGGCCGTCGGGATAGGAGGTCCACTCTCAAAAAATGAGCCTGTCTGCTGGCAACTCCCCAGGACACTTGCAAGTTCAGTTTTTGCAGGCAGGGGACTCGACGTTTCGAAAGTTGCGTTATAGTGTGGCTTCTGACAGCTCTCGATCGGGTTTCGAGATAGAGAGTAAGGGGCTCGTTCGACACTCAGGCGCGTAAATCCCCCGAGGAAATGATCGTTCCACTTATCCTCGGGGAACAAATTGAAAAACAAATGTGAAAACAAATCCTCGGGGATTCCTCGGGCTACAACCATTCTGACGCGTTCCCCAAGGGACCTTCCGAGGTCCCTCGGAGGTCGAGCATTCGGAAGAATCGGGGCGTCGACAACAGCTCTCTCGACGACATTTTTCGACGCGGCGTGGTCCATTGCTGTTCCTGGCGGCCTTGGACGGACATCTTCGGTCGGCAACGGTTAGCGTCATGGAACTGGCCACCAACGGTCGTCGTTGGCGGTATGCTTCTCGCTATTCTTTATGTGTGGAGGTATGTTTCTCGCTATTCTTTATGTGTGACGGTATGCTATTCCTGGCGGCCTTGGACGGACATCTTCGGGCGGCAACGGTCGGCGTCATGGAACTAGCCACCAACGGTCGTCATGGAACTGGCCACCAACGGTCGTCATGGAACGGGCCACCAACGGTCGTCATGGAACTGGCCACCAACGGTCGTCATGGAACTGACCACCAACGGTCGTCGTTGGCGGTATTTTGATAATGGCAAGTCGATGTTCGCTTCTGTTAAACTGAACATCTACTTTTGTTCATCGCTATTCTTTATGTGTGGAACTTGTTTTCGCTTCCTCTTAAGTTGGCTTTGATTTCGTTTCATTCAAGCTTGTAATGGTAAGGGGGATGGAAAATGGGCAGGGAATCTCGCCTAAACCAATGGATGATGAGAGATTGAGGGTTGTTCGTTCACGTAATTGCAAATGCGGGCAGGGAAGTTTGCTTTATATTTTATTGCATTCACGTTTA